AATAAGGCTTTGACTAGTGAGAAAATGGTTCTGAGCAGATGGCTGTAAATGATCCTAGGTGAATTTGATTTTATAGTTTTTTAGTTGGAACTGGTTAGTCATTTTAGCTTGGAAGCCATTTCAAAACTGGCATCTAAATTTTTATCCCTTCAGAGATGGGGTAGCAAAGGAGGATGTTTGTCTTCAGTGTCTTTGGCTCAGTAATATTAGTTCAGCCTGAGTTTATGAAGTTTGGGCAAAAACTGTCTTCAGCATGGAATCTTTTTTTTTTATTTATTTAGATACTCTTTTTTAAGTCTTGCTCATATAATATCCCTGATCCATGATTAAATGGAAAACACAGTTTGCATGTTAAAATGTAGCCCAATGCTTCTGCTTCCGTAAATCCTTCAACTGTTGTGTTTAGAATAATTTTATGCTGGTAGTTGATAGAATTCTTTCTTAAATATAAGGATCATCCTTTTGAAAACTCTTACTCACTGGGTGTAATTAATCTTAAAACTAGTTGTCATGCTGAATTTAGAGAATTACTAAGATGTAATAAGAAAAAGACAGTAAACTACCTGTAAGCTAATGAAATTATAATATAAAAACTCATTGTGACTGAAAGTTATTGTTGGTTTAAAGAAATGAATGCTTTCAAAACAGAATTAATATGCATGAAGGAGAGGATTCTTTTATAATCTCATGGTCTGGTTTTTTTTTCCTGAAATGAAATTACAGTACTTAAATGTAAATGAACCATCTTTTCCCCCCACAGCTGTCTACTCTCATGTATATGTGATAAATTTTGAGCACCTAATTATAAACAGTGATGAAATAAGAGTGTTAATAGAGTCCAAATTTGCACTTCTGCTAGCGGTTGGGTAAACTGTGAAAGGCATTCAGGCTTGGGCTCCCAAGAAATTAATAATACAGCCCAACTTACATAGTTTTTGTTTTCATTATGAGAATTCCAGGTCATTAGTCACCTTTTGAGGTGGACCAGAGGGTTGTCTTCTCTGGCTTCGCGGAGAGTGCTTCATCAGCTCATCCCATAGAGGTATTGGGAGGAAAGAGTTTGTGGATGAGAATGGTCCAGACGAACACTCACTTTGCAAAAAATATGGGATAAGAGAAGTGTAGTTAGAGCTGGAATTGGTTCCTCTGTCTCATTCACCACTGGGCTGTAAAGAAACTTGTACCCACACAAGGGGTGTTATGAATGGGAGAGGAAAGAAGATAAAGGGGGTACCATTCCCCACAAAGCAGTTCTCTAAAAGACACCATGCATTTCTGTTCTTTCTGTCTCTGTGAAATTATGGCAGAAAGCTGGGAGTTTTAAATTTCCTGCCTTTCACGTCCAATTTAATGGAAATCTTTCTCAGTCAATAGATGAATAATATATTAGTTTTATTAGTAAAATGTTTCTGTACGTATCTAAATTAGTTGTAAACGTTCTTTTGAGAAGATCATGGTAAAAGAGGATAAAATGCTGTGTAGGGAGACGAATGCAAAGTAAATGCAGTAGAAATAAAGGGACAGTATCAAAAGGAAAAGAGGTGGATTAAAAACAAATAGAGGAAGCGGAGAGAAGAACAGTGAGAACAGGCAAATAATCTTGTGAAACTCTAATAACCTTTAAAGTGGTGTTAAATACTGAAATTCTCACTTTCTTCCATTTGGTGGCTACAGAACTTCCAGATTATATAGCTTAGAAATTACACTTGTTTCAAAATACAGTAATTAAAGTTCTTCTGAAAACCCTGTTTTTCATTTGGGTCCTGGTGTTTCACTCTGTTTTCTCTTTTTTTTTTTTTCTAATTCTTGAGCGCTGGGTGTGAAGAGTGAGGAAAGGAATGGCACATGCCCTTTTTCAGTGAAAATATTTGTCTTGGAGGTTGTGTCACAGGACATCTGCCAGGACCGCAGCGTTTAAATTATCCTAAATCCATGTGGCTCTTGCTCAGTAAGGCAATACATTCAGTCAAAAACTGAGCTGACCACACTCTAACTTTAAAATGCTTTGGAAAAACACAACTTTAAAAAAAACAACCAACCTGTCTGTAAGGAGGGAGACAGATAGCCCTTTCAAAGTGGCATCTTTGATGTGGAAACTTAATACAGAAATTTCAGTGTTGATAGAATTGTTTTGGAAATGATGTTTTGGCCACGTCAGCGTCGGTGTTTCTGGAAACCTGACTCTCTGTTCTGGAAGCTGAGGTTTGGGTGCATTCTGCAAGGTCTTTGTGGGCCTGTGTGTTGTCTAACAGCTGTGCCAACTGATTTCTTAGTTGTCCTCATCTGCCTGTGTTCTTTTTGGCTTCATTCGCTGAAGGCTCCTTATGTATCCTGAAGAAGTGGGAGCATTCAAGCATCTCAGCTCTCTGCTTGGTTTTCCTCTGGTCTGTGTTGATCGGACTTGATTTTAATTTGTCTATACAGAAATCTCAGGGATTTATCTAATTTTACATGTATTGTATCCCCTTATCCCTTCCTCGCTTCCCAGCAGATCCGTAACTTGCTCTTATCTATGATCTGAGTTGGCCAGACATGATCCAAAGTGATGTTTTTGTTGGCTTGTGGGGGTGCATGTAATGGTCACTACTGGGATTGCAGCAATTCACCAAGGCTGTTAGGATTTTTTATGGAAGATTTCTGTCCTTCCTACTATTTTTTTCTTCTATACAGTAGAAAAGATGGTAAATAATTTACAAGACTGTTGCAGATTCTAACTGTTCTTTGAATTAATTTACATTCTCTAAAACACCTGTATGTAATTCCTGGCATTTTAAAGCTGTGCTAATGTCTTTTTTAAAATTTTTTTTCTCTCCTTCTAACGATCTCCATTGTCACCAATTCTGATGTAAGTTCTGTTCTGATAAAGGTTGAATGGTGACACTTCCGTAAATTTCTTGAAGTGGCTGCTGAGGCTCCGAAAATTAGCATATGCATATTTGCTAGGTTGGATGATGCTCAAATAATCTTCTGTCTCTTCTAGTATTCAGATATTATGGTGATGGTCATAATAATAAGTCACCATTTCTTAACTACAGATGGCACTACAATATGGAGAACTGTTAAGTCATGCCAAAGCTGTTATCAAAGATAGTAAAATTTAAGCCTTTGTTTTCCATTTTGGTTTGTCTAGTCTTTTCCATTAGATAACTTACTGACCTGGAGTTCATTTATAGTTGTTGCCATGACCTGTGCATTTTAAGGATGCCACCAGTAGCTGTATTTCAGTTTCTTGTTGCCCAAACCTAAGTAATCTTTGCCAAAATGGCCTGATGTAAGAGTCTGTCTTCCATTACTGAACATGCTGAAATTGTCCTGTTGGAGCTCATTAGGAATAAACAGGATTTGAGATAGAGAAGACTTTCAGTATACCACAAAAAGTTAATCTTTTGCATCATTTAATATAATTGAAAAATGTAGCTTGTTGCCTTGGTCCATCCCTGGAGTTACTCTCTTCTTCGAGAGATAACTCTGATAAATCCCAGTGTCTTCAGCAAGAGAAGTTACTTAACAAATAAATAATAAAAGGGAGAATGGAGCTGACTTGTTCAGTTTCTCTGCCTTGGCAATATCATTTAAATTTTAATTTCCTGAAATAGAACATTCTTCAAGATATTTACTCCTTCTTCCTGCAAACACAGACAATTTTTTAACATACAGATATTTTCTAGGCATTTTTTAATTTAGATGATAGTCATGACTAAATGACCATTTACTGAAGAGCAGGGTGGGTATAAAAGCAAACTTGAAATCCCAGTGTAATCTAACAATATTTTGTTCCACCATTTCAATTTTTGGAGACAACTGCTTTGTGCAAGGCCCTTTGAAATACTTAAAACTGAGGAAAAAGTACCTTGGCTCTTAAGGCTGGTCAAGGACCTTGACTTAATTATGGTGGAGAAAGCCTGGGATGATCAGATGAAGCTCTCTTTTGTTCTCAGTTTTAGTTAAACCTTGTGTTGGGTGGCTGGATTTGAGGTATTTAGCATTCTGCAGGTTAGGTATGTATGCTTTCTGCTTTTAAACTTTAAGCACTAGTGTTCTGAATGATAAAATCCTGCTTATGCATGTCTTGGCAGGGGAGAGGGCCGGCAGCAGGGGCAGTCTGGCTGCCATTCCTCCTCCCTGTCCTCCTCTTCTCTCAGCATCGCAGCTTAATTCAGGCCTGGTTTCCTTCTGTTCTTCTGTTTCCTTTCAGTCGGGTCTGATCTCATGAATGATCAGTGCACTAAAGGTGTATTGCAATTTCTTTTTCTGTATTTATTCTTTATTTCATTTTTATCTGTGTATATGTTTATACAGATAAAGCGTGCAGTAAAATTACAGAGGAGAAAGTTGAGAGAATGTTTAAAGTTTTCTTAAAAAGTGCTTACTTGCACGTACCTTGAGTGAAAGGAATTAATTTCTGTTTTCTTAGCATTAGGAACACTTTTTTTTTTTTCCCATTAGTTTCTATTTGGTATTATGTTTGGTTGCAAAATTGGTCAAAGTGGCTGTACTACTGTTTCTTAATTACTGTAAATGTAGTTTTCTGTTCATATCGGCGGTTTGGTACTGATGTGACTGCAGTGATTTGAAAATTACATTGATGCATGCGAGCAGGACAAGTAGAAAGCTTTTAGGGCTTTCTACTATGTATTTAACTGTCTTTACAGTGTTAAAATGGAATTTTTTGTGAAGTAGGCAAGGGGTTTTTATTTAAAAAAAAAAAAGTAAACTATTTTTAGTAATTTTATAAGCACCTTTTCCTCTCCCCCTCCAACCTCATGAAAGAATTCCAAAAAAGCATGCTAGTATTAGAACTTGCTTTGTTCATAGTACACAAATATGAACAGCTTGAAAATACTGAAGGCGAGCCAAGGTGGCCCTTTAAGTAGTTTAGAGATGCTTAGTTTTGAGTGTCTCTTTATTTTGTGGTGTAGTGTTTAATCCTTGTATTTACTTGTCATGCAAATCTGTCTAATTTTTATATTTTTTTTTTTTTTTGCTTTTTGACTCCCCAGGTGGCCTAGAACATTGGCAGGCATCACAGCATACCTGCTGTGTACCCGTTATTCCGCTGGCAGTGGGATATATCCTGGCAACTCACAAGATGAGAGAAGAGCCTGGCGCAGATGCGACAGGGGAGGCTACTGGGCAGAAGAGGACTACTCCAGGTGCCAATATGCCAATGATGTGACTCGAGTTCTTTATATGTTCAACCAGGTAATTTGTGCACTTCTATAAAATCAAATTCTTTCATGAAAATAGAATCATAGAATCGTCTAGGTTGGAAGAGACCCTTGGGATCATCGAGTCCAACCATCTCCCCTACTCTACAAAGTCCTCCCCTACACCATATCCCTTAGCACTGTATCTAAACAGCCCTTAAACACAGCCAGGGATGGTGACTCCACCCCCTCCCTGGGCAGCCTGTTCCAATGCCCGACCACTCTTTCGGTGAAAAATTCTTTCCTAATGTTCAGTCTAAACCTACCCTGTTGGAGCTTGAAGCCGTTCCCTCTCGTTCTGTCACTAATTACCTGTGAGAAGAGACCAGCACCAACCTCTCTACAGTGTCCTTTCATGAAGTTGTAGAGAGTGATGAGGTCTCCCCTCAGCCTCCTCTTCCTCATACTAAACAGTCCCAACTCCCTCAGCCGCTCCTCATACGATTTGTTTTCCAGCCCCCTCACCAGTTTCGTTGCCCTCCTCTGCACTCGCTCCAGCACCTCGATAAAAATAAAAACTCACAAGTCTGTTTCTCCACTATTACTATTATTTTTTTTTAACTGGTAATACGGATGGTCTAGGTGAATTACGGTGAACACATAGAATGGTTCTGGTTGGAAGGGAACTTTAAAGATCATTAAGTTCCAAATCTCCTACCCATTGAGTTCCAACCTCCCCCACCAGACCAGCTTGCTCAAAGCCCCATCCATGCTGGTCTTGAACACCTCCAGGAATGGGACATCCACAACTTCTGTGAGCAACCTATTCCAGTGCCTCATGATGTTATTCCCCTCTACTCTGCTGTGGTTTAGTCACAAGTAACATCTTTGAGGGCTGGAAGGGGGAGCGGCGGTGCGTAGCGACTGGTTTGCAGCTGGGAATCCCTTTATGGGCCACAGCATAGTTGAGTATTTGCTTATTGAGAGCTCTGATGCCACAGATTTTCTTTGTTCCTCACCTTGGAATATATATTTTCCACAAGGTCTGTAACAGCTTGATGCTACTCCTGCCTACGTACTGCAGCCCAACTGCTCCAGAGCCTAGATTCCTTCCGGCTGTTATAACTGCCTTTGCTTAGCCAACATTTATCAGGTTGTGGAAGAATGTGGCCAACTTTGTGTTAGGAAGTTTAAAATATGAGGGTCAGATTGAGATCTTCAGAAAAGCAGAAGTATGACTTCCATGTGTGAAGTTGGTAACTTCCTATAATCTGCTTAAAAATACATGCACACAGGTGTGTTACACTGAAACAGAGGTTTTAAATATTAATTTTTTTTAAAGGGAGAAGTGGCATGTTTTGATTTTTTGGAGTTGTTTTTACGCATTAGAGCCTTCCTCTTTTTATGTGTAGAAGGTCTGGAATTTTTAGCAGTGTTCTGCCCAGAAATTTATTGTCACGGAGACATAATATTAAATTTAATAATATTATAAGCGTCTTTAGAGAACACAAAGGTAGTTGAGCCATTTTGAACATCAGAACTCTGCCAAGGAATTTAAATCAAGTAGAGGTCCAAGTTGAAAATGCAGCTGAAACCTTTGTAACATTCATACAAGAACATTTATATTTCACTGTTCTTGTTTGTGTATTTAGAGGTATACTTTTAGGTGAAAAGAAATTCATGTTTAAAGAAAAAGTTCAAAGAACTTATACAGAATATCTGAATTTGAAAGTTGACTTTGCTCGGTGTGTGTGATGACTTTGAACTTTATTTACACTTTAAATGCATGACTCTTAGTGTTTTGGAAAAAAAAAGTTTTTCATTAATTACATTCAAATCTATGTACAAGTGCTAAGACCAGCAGGGACATGTTGATGTTGTGTACTATTTAGTGAAGAATTTTCCAGTGTGGTGCTTGTTTCAGGAATGAAATCATGAGCTTTGTCATAGAGAAGATTTATCTTGGGGCTTTTTTGCTTTGTATGTTCCATTCCAAATACTTTCTGGAATTACAGAATCATGAGTGAATGCTACAGCAGTGGTGTATTTGAATTTCTTTTGGCTTCTTTTCCTATAAAACGCCACCAAATGCTGGTTCTCTGGCTTGTGGGAAATGTTTTTGCTAATAGATATGGTCCCTGGCTACTTAAAACACTGTGATCCCTGTGGGGATTGCTATCCTCTTTGGGAAAATGCTTTTTTATTAATTGCTGAAGTCTTGCCTCTGTCTTGTGCTTAATTTTCACTTCTTTAAATTGCTTGTGTTTGTTCTCTGTGTAGATGCCGCTCAACCTTACTAACGCGGTGGCAACAGCGAGACAGCTCTTGGCTTACACTGTCGAAGCAGCAAACTTTTCTGATAAGATGGATGTTATTTTTGTGGCTGAAATGATAGAGAAATTTGGAAGATTTGCTGAAAAATATAAAGAGGTAACTGGATAATTTGCCATCGCTTTAGAGATAATCAAAGTGTTTGTCCTTAAGTATTCTGAGCCGTGAAACCTTCTCAACGTTAGATGCAGGAGCTCAGTTAGAAGATTATCAGATTCTATCCCATGTTTTTGTTTGTTTAGTAGGTCCCTGAAGTTGCTGACCCATGGTCACAGCCTTTGCATTCGAGCTGAGATGATCCAGCATTCACTGGAGCTGTAATGTGAGTAACACCTCTGGTCAGCACTGGAGCAGGGAGATGGGTACAGTAAGTCTGTTTTTATTTAATATGGAGTGGGTCATGCAGGTTTTCATTGGTATGTTCTTATCTAAAAAAATCCAAATAATGAAAGCCTCAGAGATCCTCTCAATAATGAATAAAACAAGACTTATCTTCTCCCCTCCCACCACGGTAGGCTGTCTTTATTCAGTATTGAGCTGTATCTCTAAGGTTTTCACTATTCCTATATCTTGCAGGATATAAGATAAGACGTTAAAAATAAAAATCTTAGAGAACGCTCATTGTTGGAGAGAAAAAAAATACGAGTGGTTGAATAGTCCCACCAGTGGGTAGGAACTCTCTGTTTCACTGCTGAACAGAGGTTATATTGCTCTCACTGTACAGTGCATGTTGGGAAGTTGGAGACCACAATGCCTTAATTTTAAACTTGCGCAAAAAAAAAAAAAGGCAAAAAAAGAGCAAAATTTCCCCGTCCACTCTCAGCAAACCGTAAATGCTGGTTGTAAATTCTTTGCAGAAGTCCTTGGAGAATTTTCAGGCTAAATCTCCTTTTACAGTCATAGCTTGGGTTTTCTTGCTGTGTTTTGGAATTATACGAGCAGTTCATTAAATGGCTGGTTTTGTACCCAGTCAAAAATAGAAACAAATTTTAGATGGCTGCATGATTTGTTACATTATAAGGGTATTCTTTTCTCAGCTGTGATTTATTGTCTGTAGGGTGACACAATCTGGCATTGCTTTGCCATGTTTGAAGGTTATAGATGATATGAAAAAATCTAAGTTAAATTCATAGGTTGTTTTGGTCTTAGGTGATGTATTTTTTTAATCTTAATTGATTTGATTTGAAGTAAACATTTGATTTGCTGATAGATTCAAAGAACATGAGTGCAATTTCATTTAATAATTTTTAGAAGCTATTAATAAGACAGTTATTTCTTATTAGGGTATAACTACAAATGTTTTCTTAATACTTGTACCATTTTATTGTCAGTTCTTTAGTTCGCATTACAGTGGCTGTTCTGAAAGATAAATAGTATAAATTATAAAAAGTTTCATTTAATTCCTTTTTCATGTCAGAAGAAGAAACAAGCAGAAGACAAATGTTCAGAAAGTTCTTAGATTCTCTTAAATTAGAATGCAGTTGGAAAAACTTGTGCTTACCTTGATAAGTAGGGGAAAGAATAAGGTGTAATAGTTTATAAAAGTACAAAATATGAAACAACTTGAGTCCAGTGACTTAAAGATCTTTATCCTGATAATTTACTGTAAAAACACCATTTGATGAAAAATATGTTACCAGTTTTCAAGTAATAATAACGATAATTTACTGTAAAAACACCATTTGATGAGTAAAATGTGTTACCGGTTTTCAAGTAGTAATAAGTCATAATAAGCATCTTCAATTAATTTAACTTTGATTTCTTCTTGAGAATTTAATGGAAAGGGCTACAGTCTGCAGATGCTGCTTGAGGGTTCTGTGTTTGCTGTTGAGAATGTTTACTGATTGTAGCTTCTGTCCCTAAAAAAAACCCAGTTCTTAAAACAGTAAATATTTTTATATTTTGATTTTTTGAAATTTGAAATTTTGAAAATTTTATAATTTTTGAAGACTTAAAAACAACCAACAACAAAATATTGTATTCTCTCCTTATTAGTAATATTCTGAAAACAAACTGAGAAGCCCTGATGGTAAAGGAGATGTCTTCCCCACCCCATCCTGTCTCTCTTTATGCAGAAAATTCCAGTCCCTAAATTTGGGCACTGTGAATTGCATTTCAGTCAGTTCAACTAGAAAATACATATACCTTTGCTTTTGGTCCAATATTTGTTGATGTTTCTTAAATGTTGTGAAAACCCAGTGTAGGTCAATGTTGCTAATGTAGGTGCTCATTAATTTTGGCGGAGTTGTGGCCTAAATAAATGAATTCCCTTTCTAGTTTGTGTTTGCCTGTCGTACAGAAGACAGGGCAGGGAGTATGAGCGTAAACTTACAACAAGGTAATTGATGGTTTGGAAGCAGCTCAGGTACCTGTGGGTATTTGCTGTCTCTCTCATGTGTAACCTGCCACCCAAACCAGTTCATGGAAAATTGAAGGTGAGCAAGGAAGGAATCAAAAGGAAAAGCAGACATAGCAAAAGGAAGAGAAGCTGAAGTGTTACATGTTATTTTTGCCTGCAACACCTTTTTCTTATTACCTTCCTCCATATATGCAAACTGTAGTATTGCTGATTTATAGAATTTTAAGTTTGTTTTATTTTAGGTTTAAAGCTGATTATAAATAGCTCTTTTAAATAATTATTACGGTAGAATGTGGAGTATTGCACACTCTGCTGTTACTGAAATATCTGTATTTCTTATGTTTTTGTTTCCTAAGTATAATGTAAACAGACAAATGACATTGGCATAACGTTTTTCCTGGATGGAGGTAAATGTCTGAGTCAAAGCATTTCAGTATCTCAACTTGACAAGTGGTGATTGAGATAGGAACAGCCAATTTCCTTTTTGCTTTTTTTTTTTATGCTGACAAGTGGCTTTGTATTTTCTGATAATGATCCTACTCCACGAAGGCTTTCAAAGGGATAGAACGGTCTTATTTCTCTTCCCTGGTAGCTTGGAGACGTGATGGTGGACATAGCCAGTAACATCATGTTGGCTGATGAGCGTGTTCTCTGGATGGCCCAAAGGGAAGCCAAGGCTTGCACTAGAATTGTACAGTGTCTGCAGAAAATCGCTATGTACCGGCTTGCAAACGGAGCTCAAGTTTATTCTACTGTAAGTATAAATGTTATTTATTTAGGAGACATTTTGCTGGCTTTCGAGTTTCAATAGCTTTTTATTTTTCTTAATAGGTGTTGGCATTATCTGAAACGCTTGCTATTTCTGTAGGGAGAAGAGAAATACTCTGAACAGATTTCCCCCTGCCAGATGAACACAAACTCTTTCCTGGGTGGTTTGTTTTTTTTTCCTCTCTTCTGGCAGAGAATCCCTCTAAGATAATTTATTATTCTGCCTGTGGTGTGTTTAAAAAAAAAAAAAAAAAAAAAAAGTAATGTTTGATTTTTGTTGGTTTTGTTGTTACAGTATTCTCCAAATATTGCTCTTGAGGCTTATGTGATAAAGGCTGCTGGCTTCACCGGGATGACGTGCACCGTGTTCCAGAAAGTGGCCACGTCAGACCGCACCGGACTCAGCGATTATGGGAGAAGAGATCCAGATGGAAATCTAGATAAACAATTAAGCTTTAAGTGCAACGTTTCAAACACACTGTCAAGTCTGGCTTTAAAGGTCAGATCCTCGTTGTTTCCCTACTGACTTTGTAATAATATCTTAAATATGAATCAGTCGGAAAGCAAACTTATATTATTAATTTCTAATGTTAAAGTGGCATTTTTTTATGTAATGCAGAGTTACTGTGACAAGAGATTATTATCCTTTGTCACTTTAATTAAGTTAGATTATAGAATAATTTTGTAATGAGTAAGTGTGGTTTTCTTTATTAAAACATCTTAAGTTGCAAGATGCTTTCAGACCTTTTCATAAGTGTGGAAATCGAAATGCTTCCTAGTTCATAGTAATGGTTGGCTTTATTTTGCTGTATTTTCACGTTCGTTAACATATTAAATTACCAGTTTCCTTAAATATCTGAAGTGTTCGGCGCAGAGTGATGCTGTAAGTAAGCACAAAGTAGAAAATGGACCTGAAAGGTTAATTTTACTTCTGTGTGTGGACACACACACACATATATATATGTATATATATATGTGGGTGTTTATAGAATGGAAACACTTCCTCATGTTCCATAAAAGTCATTTTTCAGTTACATTTCCCTACGTACCAGTTTGCTTTTATCACTTAATGTGCTTGAATGCTGCAGGGTGTGCATTTGAAATTATATTTATGTAATTCTATGAAATTACATGCATACTTCCCTACCCAAATATTATTTATATACAAGTTATCAAGACCTGTTTGTACACGGTGTTTCAGTTTGAATGGTGCTAATGCACAATTACAGAATTTCTCTTTCTCTGCTTCTCTGGGCCGTTGCTTCCAGTTGCCAATAGTCTAATCTGGAAAACTCTTTAATAGTTTGCTGATATCAACTTGAACTTTACTCTCTGTAACAAGTCAGGTAATTACAGAAACTTAACTTTTTTTCTCTTTAAAAAAGTGTTAAGACTTTAATAACCTGATTCAATTATTTTATCTTGGGTTATTTGGACAAATAGGTTTGTCACAACACATTGCTAAATGCATTAACCTCTGACACTGTTCAGTTGGAGGAGTTGCTAATTTTATCTCTGTAAAGAATTTGTTTTTCTCTTTAAAAATCTAAAAAAATCCGTTTCTTTCTAGAACACGATTGTAGAGGCTTCTATCCAGTTGCCAGCTTCCCTTTTCACCCAAAAGCAAAAAAGAGAAATCAGACCAGCGGATGAGTCTGTCTACAAGCTCCAGCTTATTGCATTTCGCAATGGGAAGCTTTTTCCAGCAACAGGAAATTCAACAAACCTGGCCGATGATGGAAAACGTCGTACGGTTGTAACCCCAGTTATTCTTACCAAGATAGGTTTGTTTTTTATTATTACTTCTTTATGATCTTTAAAAATAAGAATGATTTTTTTTTTACTCCTTTGTTTTGACCGCTGTGTATCCAATAAAAGGTTTTTTAGCCTCTAACGTGTTACGTGTTGAGAAATTTATGTGCAAATCCATTTCTTTTGTAACAGATGGTTTAAGCCCAGCCAGTCACCACGCGCCCATCAACGTGACGCTGCGGCGCATCGCGCACGGAGCAGATGCTGTTGCTGCTCAGTGGGACTTTGATCTGCTGAACGGACAAGGGGGATGGAAATCTGAGGGATGTCGCATTCTTCTCTCCGATGAAAATATAACCACCATTCAGTGCTACTCCCTCAGCAACTATGCTGTCTTAATGGTAGGACACTCAGAATTACACGTCTCTCTCTGCAACTTAAAAATATTCCAATAGAATCCTGTTTGGTTTTATTTTCCTGGCGTTAAAAGAGAATGAGCATTCCCATGTTCCATTTTGCATAAAACTAGACATAAGAAATAATTTCAGTTTTCGCTTGTGTTGATATAAAAGTTGATGTAAGATGAGGTTTAAGTGGAAATCTGTCAAAGCGGAATTAATTGCTGAATATACCAGACACAAAAGAATTTTTGTAAGGAAAGTACTATATTGTAGAATCACAGAAACATAGAATTGTCTGGGTTGGAAGGGACCTTTCAGATCATTAAGTCCAACCATCATAGGAAGCCATTTTAATGAGCTATGTAATCAAATAGGCTTTTATGAATTTTAGTCTAATAATGACAAGTTTTTTTTTAGAATGCTACCTTTATTTTAAACTATCTTCTCAGTGTTAGATTAAATTTGTTAGCTTTGTCTGACAGGAGTGTTTTCCCAGGGTTTTTTTTCCTGTGATCCATAAACAGAATTGTTATTTCGCTGCCAATTAGCTATTCATTCCCTAGTCTGTAGATCTGTTACCAGAAGACAATGACTGAGAAAGGAAACAAAATAAAAACAGTTACTATTGAAAATATTTTTGAAATACTGTTTAAAAAATAGTATCTGAGGTCTAGTCTTAGTAAATTGATGTCAATAAAATGGTTAACTGATTCTAAAATATAGCGATGGTTAAAGAAAAGGAAGTGAGACACCTCGTTTTAGTGCCCTTCAGTTAGGAAGGAGGATTTCTTCTTTGGCTGTTCCCAGAGCATTTTGTTTCAGAATTTGGTGTGGGAAGGTTCCCTTTTACAGGTGGTGCCTGTTACCTGGCTCATCAGTTGTACCACAGATGCTAAATGATAAAATGTGATACATGAAAATGGTAGGGTATAGGAAGCTGAGTAAAATAGGAAGAGGTTTAGCAAATATTGTTAACTTAGGTGCAACTTTGGTATGGATTTTGTTGTAGTTAACGTGCTCTGCGTGGAATTAAATATATATTTTTATGTAATACATGGAAGAAAGAGGATTCCTTTAGGATGATCAGTGCATAAGAAGTTGCTATTTTTGTTCTGCAACTCAAATTTTCAATAGAATAGTAGAATACCAAAAAGCTAAACATAAATTAAAAATTATTTACATGCCAAGCTTTTTAAAAGAGCTCAAAGAGAGCAACATTTTGACTTTACCTCTGAAGGTACTGTTTTAAGTGACTTCAAACTGTTATAATCCTATAGTTCTCTTTGATATTTTTTAAACATATAATCCTTTCCTAAAACATAACAGCATTCTTTAAAACAGAATTAAACTTCATTTGTATGTGTAATATGCATGTGAAGAGAGAGTGTGCTTTAAATTGGTCACATTCCTGCCATCTGGAGGAAGAAAAATGAAGAGCACACTCAGTCTGCTGCTGTAAATGACTATTTCTAAATTAATACATGGTAAGATTATAATCAATATGTCATTGTAAGTTGTATAGAGAACTGTTGGCAATCAGAAATGAAAAAAGTCAGAGGAAGAGGCAGCTATCTTCCTTTTCTGCCAATGGCTCTCATTCTGTGCTTGCTCAGAACTGGTATTTCTTAAATATTTAGCTACTTCCCCCAAATGTTAGGCTGTAGGGACTGGAGAGGGCAGGTGGAGGAGGACAGAATAACGTTCATCTGGTAGATGTTCCTTGCACACAGTTAATACACTGCAAAAAGCTCTAGATGCCCAAGTAGCTGCTGAGAAAGGTTTTCATAATGCCTATGCATTTATTAACTAAAAAAGCCACAATAGCTTATTTAATTTGTAGACTCCCATACTGTTGTGAAAAACGGAATTCTGGTCCCAGGCTCACAGGAAATTAATTTAGAAGCTTGTCTTTTAATTTAACAGTTGTCATTAACATCAAATAAATGAACAGTAGTGGCAGGAGGGACCTGAATGCAATATTCCATCGTCCTGGCTGGGTGGCAAATGACTTGACCAGAGCTGTTTCACTCTTTTTTGGTCTACTTTACTTTAGTACATGTGTGTAGAATTCAACAGGTTGTAATGTGCTGCCTGTTTTACTGCAGAATGTAATGTAAAGTCCTTTCTGAGAAGGAAACCCATAATGGAGTGTCTGGTTTTATAATCTAGTGATTTAGGAAGATACAGTTATAAAATTTTGTATTTATTTGGAAATAATTTTGACCGCTGTTTAATAATAGATGACCAGGAGGCTCAGCTTGAAATGTCATTATTCTAGGCCTGCAGCAGAGGAGAACAAGCAGCAATGGCAACTGAGAAGAATCAGAGTTCTGCTAGTTGGCTATAAATGCCCCAATGTTCTTCTTAATGTCATCTCTACTGTTATTTTATTGTCACTCTCTTTTTTTTTTTAATTAAATTACTATTTAGGATCAGTTTAGCTCACAAATAACTTTTTTAGCTCTCCTTTTTGTAGGTCTGATAAAAACAGTCAGTGCAATTGGTAAGAAATCCATTGACCTAGGCTGGGCATACTGGGTGTTCTCAGATGTTTATCAAGACTATTGTACATCTTGCAATTCTGTAGCTCTTGTTCTCCAAGTTCACACCAATACATGTGTGACACCTTCTTACCTGTCACCAATCTGGAAGCAGCAACTGGAATTCTCCTACAGTTTCCATTCTCTGATACTCACCGGCTATAGGTGACGATACGTTCCCTCGTGGTTGTATCAGCAATGAGTTCCTCGGGATCTCCAGCTGGATGTCAACCAGGCCATGGGCAGTGTTGAAACCACGTAACACTGCCCGCCTGAGGCATAGTATCTTACAATCTTTCCCAAAGTGTTTTTTCTATGTGCCAAAGAAAACCAAATAAATAAAAATCAAACTGACAATCTGATTAAATTATTTCAAAATGAGGTTGGCGAGTTAGGAACAACAGATTTATATTCTGATGAAAGAAGAGTTGAAGGTGTGGTGAAGAGACTGTAGACTCTAATTTAATTGTAAGACTCAATTCAAGAACTCTTCTCCTGTCCATGAAATCAGATTACCCATCTTAACTTTGAAAAGAGATTGTATATAACTGTGATTTTTCTCAAAACAAACTGAAGCTTCCTCCTAATGTTGTACCATTCCTTGTGAATGCCAAATTTGTTCTCCTTTCCCCCAGCACACTTTTGAACTTTGCCAACTCTAGACGTTTAAGAGTGACTCACTCAGAATTATAGGTGAGAGAAGCTTCTGTATCCTGTCTGTTGTGAAAAAATAGATTTTTCCACTGATCTTAGTTAAGCAAAGTTGGCTTTTTTGGACTGGAAGGGACTGGGAGGGGTTTTTTTCAGTGTTGAATACCTTTATGGAAATGGAACTCTAGTAAACTGTAACTGCATCCAAATAAAATTATTTCTTCTTGCTATTCTTGTTAGTAAATGAAAATGTCATTCCTTAGATGTTATTTGAAACATTTGAACAGTCCAAGGTTCTGTTCCATGCTTACTTTTTCGATAATGTTTTGACAGGTGGGTTCAGAAAACTTAAACGTTGCACATGAGCTGTTGAATTCTATTTGAGTTACCAACTGTCTATTCTGGCCAAGCAGTGATCATAGAATAACAGTCGGGCAGGAACATCTGGATGGCCTTTGGTCCAATTACCTGCTCAAAGTTTCCTCGGCTTCAAAGTTGGATCATATTGCTCCAGGTCATATTCAGTCAAGCTTTGAGTATCTCCAAGGACAGAGATTACATGGTCTCTCTGGGCAGTATTGGTGAAATTGGCAGTCACAGAAAGTGACCACTTTCATCAGAATTTTTTTTCCTGTATCTAATCAGCATTTTCCACATTGCTGATTAATGTCTGTTGCTGCCTATCATTTCATGGTTCAGCTCCAAGAAGAGTTTGCCTCAGTCTTCTTAATACAGTCCCAGTAGGTAGTTCAATATAACAATGAAACTTCTTCCATCTTCCTTTTAGAATCATAGAATGGTTTGGGTTGGAAGGGACCTTAAAGTTCCAACCCCCCTGCCCTGGGCAGGGACACCTCCCACCAGACCAGGTTGCTCCAAGCCCCATCCAGCCTGACCTTGAACCCCTCCAGGGATGGGGCAGGCACAGCTTCTCTGGGCAACCTGTTCCAGTGTCTCACCACCCTCACAGGGAAGAATTTCTTCCTAATATCTAATCTAAATCTCCCCTCTTTCAGTTTAAAACCATTACCTCTTGTCCTGTGGGTCCACTCCCTGATCAAGAGTCTCTCCTCATCTCTCCTGTAGCCCCTTTTACTTATTGGAACGCTGTTTTAAGGTCTCCTTGGAGCCTTCTCTTCTCCAGACTGAGCAACCCCAGCTCTCTCAGCCTTTACTTCCTAAAGATTAACAAATCCAGCTTTTTCAGCCTTCGACATTAGGTCCTTCAGCTCATTACTCATCCCAGTGATATGTTAGACTTGTTGCATCCAGAATGTACTGGATCCTTCCTTGGACTGGTGAGACTCAAACTGAAGACAGTTCTGCAGAGGTGGTCTCACAGTGCTGTACAGATGGAGAATCATCAATTCACCTGCTTGTGGTGGTTTTTTGGAGTGTGGCCTTGGGCTGCAGACTGCACAGCTGACTTGTCGGCAACTTCTGTCTTGCAGTCCCCTCAAGTGGTTCTTTGGTTGCTTTCTATTCCGTCCAGTGCCCAGCCTGTACTGTTGTGTGCTCGGGGTTATTCCATCCCAGGTGCAGATCTTTTCATATTTCCCTTTGCTAAATTTCACAATCTTTTATCATCCCATTTCTCTGGCTCCTGAACATCCCTCTGAATATCTTCCAATCTATTGATCAGTCTCCTCAGTCTATAGCATCATCTGCAGACTTGCTGAGGGCACTTTCTTTAACCTTCTTTGGGTTGTTGCAGGAGACAATAATCGTAACTGAAACTCCATTCTACATGCTGTACATGTAAGTGTTTCAAAAAGAAAAAAATAGTTTTAAGAAACAAAAAATGAAGCTGCTAACTTCTCTGTATATTCAAGCTTATATGAAATTTAAGATGTGTGACTGCATCTGTAAAGGTCAGCTGGAATAGCCAGTAATTGTGGAAGAAAGGCAGGAACATCAAATAATAAATAATTAGAAGGTTGTGGTGGGGGAACAGGTTCATCTAGAAGGTTCCTGTTACTACTGCTCTTCTTTTGTGTTTCGTCTGTCGTTTCCCCCTAACCTCACAAAATGAAGAGAGAAGGTGGTCTAATGTTAATTTTGTTTTTGTTGGCAGGATTTGACAGGAGCTGAGTTATACACGCAGCCAGCGGACCTTTTGCATCCAGTAATTTATGCCACTGCCATGGTTTTGCTGATGTGCCTGTTAATGATCATTGTCAGTTACGTGTACCATCACAGGTAAGAATCAAAATTACTAGGCTGAAAAAAATTACTTTTCTTTTTGATAAGAACACTATAATCTGCATTTGATTTTATTTTTTTTTTCCTACAAAATTTGTTGATGCAAACCAACAGTTAAGCAAGTGGCTATTTCATCTGTTCTGGAGTAGGACACTTTAGCTCTCATAACTATAATTCTTCACTTTTGCTTCATGGTGAAAGAAGAGACCACTCCAGAATGATGGCAGAATTCAACAAACTGTTCAGCCTTTTACATTTCTGTTAATGTGAAAGCTTGAAGCCTAACATTTTTGAATCAGGCCCCAAATAGTTGTATAAAGCTAGTTAATAGGAGGGTGGTTTAATTTCTTGTGATGAAGACCAGAGATTATATTTGATTACAAACTATGTGGTAGTCAAACAATCATTAACAGTAATTATATCTCATTTATCACGAGTGTATCTTGCTAGTTTCTGAAAGACAATAATGCAGCTGTGTTTTATGTTGTCTAATTTGTTCCTTTTAACAGTGTGATCAGGATCAGTGTAAAAAGCTGGCATATGCTGGTTAACCTGAGCTTTCATATTTTCCTGACGTGTGTGATGTTTATTGGAGGCATAACTCAGACCAGGAATGCCAGCATTTGTCAAGCAGTAAGTAAACATGCAAATGCTTGAAAAAATTAGGTACCAGTGTCATATTCCTACATACATATACACCTTCTGTACAGGCATTTTCACCAGAATGTGAAATTTAGAAAAAAAATTCAGTCTTTTTTCACCTTCTGTACAGGCATTTTCACCAGAATGTAAAATTTAGACAAAAAATCCAATCTTTTTTTTTTACCTTTACAGATTTCTCTTGTATTTTCGTCCAACCATGAAGATAAAACTAATTTGTTACTTGAAAACCGGAAAAGTATTTCAGAAGTGCAACAGAAATTCTTTTTTTGTTCAAAACACTATCACAAAAAATTAAATTTTACCCATTAGTTTTATTTTTGAAACTTGCTTATTATGGAATTGGTTTATAGGCCTATGTGTAGCCTTTACAGACCATGTGAAAACTGATTTCCATAGCTATTAAAATATATTTTTCTATTTGCTCAGTATATCCTGAAGGGAGGGAGAAATAAGTATTTCAAGTACACTTTTGCTTTCTCCAAACAAATATCACCAGCTTTATTGAGACTCCTCCTTTATAATGATTTGTTCTGCTGAGGTTTGGCCATCTCTAATTCAGTTATGAATTTGGGAATTCATGGAGCTTTTCTAAAGAAAACGCTGTTCAGTTTATAAAATTGTAAACATTTAAAGAAAAAATTTAACATCTTAAAGTGTTTGGGAATTCATGGAGCTTTTCTAAAGAAAATGCTGTTCAGTTTATAAAACTGTAAGCTTCATAAAATACACTTTCCTAAAGTGTATTATTGATGTGTAACATGGGAGATGTTGGCCAGCGAAGTTCTTCCTGTGTTATTAAGTTTTCCTTCCACTAGAGGAAACTGCATCTCTGGAGCCTTCCCAGACTCCCCTGGTGGGAAGATGGGTTTGATAACATACTCTGCCTTTTTGAAAACCACAATGATTTGGCATTTAGAACAGTTGTATTAAAATTAGAGGGGTTTTTCTTCTCTTGAACTCAGGCTTTGAAAATTCAGGCTTTATGCCAGTTATGCGTTAAATAATTAGTTTTTAATTTGGTATAAAGGAAATGTTTGAGGGTTCATTTTTATTATTTGGGTTTTTTTAAGGTTGGGATAATTCTCCACTATTCCACTCTTGCGACAGTCCTGTGGCTGGGAGTGACTTCTCGTAATATTTACAAGCAAGTAACCAAAAAAGCAAAAAGATGTCAAGATCCTGATGAGCCACCTCCTCCACCCAGACCGATGCTGAGGTGAGACCCTCATTCACATCCACAGCTCAGGATTTCCTGGGTCTCTACGCTCACATTCTCACCAGAAAATGTGACAGGTCACTACTGGTTTTTCCAAGTGCCTTTCATAGAAGATTTTCTTTCCAGGTCCATAAAGTCCCTTCCAGATTTTCCAAGTGCCTTTCATAGAAGATTTTCTTTCCAGGTCCGTCAAAGTCTCTTCCAGATTATCTGTTCCTCAGCTTTTTGTCAAGGAAGATGAGGGGAAGGACGATTGGTCTTAGCATATTACTCTTGCAATGCTGTGTTCCTGATTAGTAAATTAAGAAATTGGTAGTATTTCAGCATTACCATTGGAGCTTTGAGTAGAACTTTAGATAGCAACACTTCCCATTAAAGTATTATAAAAGAATGTGGAGAACTGAGTTATCACGCAGGGAACAAACACTGCAATTTAAGTAAATAAAGCTTAATAAGTTTTTCCAAAGATTGCTTATAAAGAATTTGAAAAATAGGCGTCACTCATTATCAAATGAAAGTAGTGTTCTTTGAGAGGCATTCCTCTTAGATTGTTTTTATTTCTGAAATCACTGACATGGGAAAAATGAATTAGCTGTGAAATTCACCATGTGTGAAATGCTTTTAATAGAAAACATTAACATACTTTGTTCATGTAGTTTCCTGAGCCTCTGGGTATTAATTAAAAACTGCTAAGCTGAAATTCTCCACAAGGTGGCAGAAGTTGATTAACTTTGATTAGTTTAGGCAAATGTTTAGAAAGCTTGATTTTGAAGTACAGAGATGCCAAAAACCAGAAATGCTTTTCTGAATATTGTCAACTAAAATTTGCAGTACTATATGCAAGCTTATAGAAATCTTTAACAAGGTAGAAGGTTAATATTTATACCCCCTTAAGTGCTGTCTTTGCAATTTTTATTTTAAGAAAAAAGTAAATGTGTTTTATTGACTGTAGGATGTCAAGTCCATCATCAGCTGTGTGCCTTCCAGCAGGGTACTGAGTAGCCTTTGCAGCATCTGTCGTGGCTTTTTTTTTTCATATTTTTCAAATTTTCTCAATGTCCAGCTTCTTGCTGATAAGGGATCTGCAAGGTTTTTGCATGGAACAGCCATAGAAGGACTTTTTTTTTTCTTTTTTTCTCTCATTCAGTTGTCTTTTAAACTTATTTTGAAACAAAGGTACCCCTAGTGGCAAAGGGCAAAGAGCTTGTGTGAGAGCTGCTTGTTTGTTTGGAACCCATCACCTGCTGTTATCAGCCATCCTGTTCCTTGAGTTTAAGGAGGCAGAACAACTGATTCTCTATTTGCCTCCACGCTGTTTATATTTCTCCTTCCTAAGCATTTCCAGAATTACAAAGGGCCTTTTGGAACAGAAAAAAAACCCACCCTGATCATTGTTTCAAGATACGGACTAAACCAATGACAGGATTTGATCTTTGTAGGATTCAGTGACTATGTAACCACATCTGTCGTGGCTTTTTTTTTTCATATTTTTCAAATTTTCTCAATGTCCAGCTTCTTGCTGATAAGGGATCTGCAAGGTTTTTGCATGGAACAGCCATAGAAGGACTTTTTTTTTTCTTTTTTTCTCTCATTCAGTTGTCTTTTAAACTTATTTTGAAACAAAGGTACCCCTAGTGGCAAAGGGCAAAGAGCTTGTGTGAGAGCTGCTTGTTTGTTTGGAACCCATCACCTGCTGTTATCAGCCGTCCTGTTTCTTGAGTTTAAGGAGGCAGAACAACTGATTCTCTATTTGCCTCCACGCTGTTTATATTTCTCCTTCCTAAGCATTTCCAGAATTACAAAGGGCCTTTTGGAACAGAAAAAAAACCCACCCTGATCGAGTTTAAGGAGGCAGAACAACTGATTCTCTGTTTGTCTCCACGCTGTTTATATTTCTCCTTCCTGAGCATTTCCAGAATTACAAAGGGTCTTTTGGAACAGAAAAAAAAAAACACCCTGATTATTGTTTCAAGATACGGACTAAACCAATGACAGGATTTGATCTTTGTAGGATTCAGCGACTATGTAATATATTTAGTGTACCTAGACTTCCAAGAAAGACTTAATCTATTTTAGACTGTTGTTTTGTGTCTCAAGTGGGACAGCAGTAACTTCTTCTGAATAATGTGAAATGCAGAGGGAAGGTCCAGGACCATCGGAATATGTGTCTCTTGTTGACAAACCAACTCCCCATGCATGTGTCACAGCAGTAGTTTTCACTGTGGGTTCCGACATGATTTTGGACAGGATTAACATAAGATGCAGGACAGAGTGCCATTAATTTGAATGATTGTCAGTAATTATTGAGCTGCCACTAATGAATTCAATGTGAATTCACAGAAATGGGAATGAAAAGTTCGATACTCCAACAACGTGTGCCCTCATCCTTGGGAAGGCAGACAGTTTTTATTACCACTGCAGGGAAGCAGGAGGTATATACTATGAAATTATAGAGGCCATTAAAAATAAATAAATCAAAACAACACCAACACCACCCCTCCAAACACCTCCACATGAAAAAACCCCAAGCAACAAGAGTTCTTATGGCTGATCTTCTGAACATAGCGTCAGGCAAGTTCATCTCTGGCAAAAAGAATGTAACACTTACTATTTTTCTTCTAAGTTTCTGTATTCTTTTCCAGCAGTTTACAACTTTTGACCCCCAGCTTTTGCTTCTTCCCTCTCACCGTGTATGTGCCTGTGAGAGAGGTGAGGAGCTGTGAGAGAAGTGGTTTGCAACAGGAGGAAAAAAATCATAGTGAGGAAATACTGCCAAAGCCCAAACCTGATTCACCCTATTTATTTTCTTAAAGAATTTGCATATTCCCAGTGTCCTGGAGAGCTCTCATTTCCTTCCTGGTGACTGAATAAAATCCATTTGCCATTAAGCTAACACTTACTATTTTTCTTCTAAGTTTCTGTATTCTTTTCCAGCAGTTTACAACTTTTGACCCCCAGCTTTTGCTTCTTCCCTCTCACCGTGTATGTGCCTGTGAGAGAGGTGAGGAGCTGTGAGAGAAGTGGTTTGCAACAGGAGGAAAAAAATCATAGTGAGGAAATACTGCCAAAGCCCAAACCTGATTCACCCTATTTATTTTCTTAAAGAATTTGCATATTCCCAGTGTCCTGGAGAGCTCTCATTTCCTTCCTGGTGACTGAATAAAATCCATTTGCCATTAAGCTTGCACTGGCTTTACTTTTTTAGGTTCTACCTTATCGGTGGAGGGATCCCCATCATAGTTTGTGGAATAACAGCAGCAGCAAACATCCGAAATTATGGCAGCAGACCTAATGCTCCTTAGTAAGTACCATACAACTGAGAGCTCTGTCAGAGCAACCTGGTCTGGTGGGAGGTGTCCCTGCCCATGGCAGGGGAGTTGGAACTCAATGATCTTTAAGGTCCCTTCCAACTCGAACCATTCTGTGATTCTATGATCTGTGGGTTTGCTTTTCTAAGTAGTCATTGTAATTAATTCTGATTCTTCCAGAAGATGGGACACAGCCAAGATTGTTTCATAATACCATTAAGGACTGGTAAAGCGTGACTTGTGAGGAGACATTAATTTTGATTCTTTGATTTTGTTTCTTTTCCAGTTGCTGGATGACTTGGGAACCCAGCTTAGGAGCATTTTATGGACCAGCGAGCTTTATCATTTTCATAAACTGCATGTATTTCCTCAGCATATTCATACAACTGAAACGTCACCCTGAACGGAAGTACGAACTCAAGGAGCCTGTTGAGGAGCAGCAGCGCCTGGCCACCAACGAACACGGGGAGCTGGCTCACCAGGATTCATTGTCGGTGTCACTGGTGTCCACGTCTGCTCTGGAGAACGAGCACAGTTTCCAGGCCCAGCTGCTGGGGGTGGGCCTCACCCTGCTTCTCTACGTGGCTTTGTGGATCTTCGGAGCTCTGTCGGTTTCCCTCTACTATCCCATGGACCTCATCTTCAGCTGTTTCTTTGGGGCCACCTGTTTAAGCCTCAGCGCCTTCCTGATGGTCCACCATTGCGTCAACAGGGAGGACGTCAGGCACGCCTGGATAACCACCTGCTGCCCTGGCAGGAGCACCTACTCGGTGCAGGTGAACGTTCAGCCCTCCAGTTCCAGCGGGACCAACGGAGAGGCCCCCAAGTGCACCAACAGCAGCGCGGAATCCTCCTGCACCAACAAAAGCGCCTCCAGCCTGAAAAACTCTTCTCAGGGCTGTAAACTCACAAACTTACAGGCCGCGGCGGCCCAGTGCCACCCCGCTTCTCTGCCCCTGAACACGGGTCCTCAGCTGGACAACAGCCTCACCGAGCACTCGGTGGATAATGATATCAAAATGCACGTGGCACCCTTAGAGGTCCAGTTCCGGACAAACGGACACCCCAGCAGGCACCACAAGAACAGAAGCAAGGGGCACCGTGCCAGCAGGCTGGCCGTGCTGAGGGAGTACGCCTACGACGTGCCCACCAGCGTGGAGGGCAGCGTCCAGAACGGCCTGCCCAAAAGCCGCCAAAGCAACGGCGAAGGGCACTCCAGGAGCAGAAGGGCCTACTTGGCCTACAGGGAAAGGCAGTACAACCAGTCCCAACAAGACAGCAGCGATGCTTGCAGCACCCTTCCCAAAAGCGGCAGGAATACGGAAAAAACGATACCCGCCAACAACAAAAAAGAGATTCTAAGGAAACCCATAGCGGTCGAACTTGAAAACCAACAGAAATCTTACGGCTTGAATTTAGCCATTCAGAACGGACCCCTTAAAAGCAGCGGGCAGGACGGCCCCTTGCTCACTGCGGACAGTACTGGGAATATCAGAACTGGGTTGTGGAAACACGAAACGACTGTGTAGGGTTAGGACTCACTGCGGGACGAACCCATCCGAACGGTGATCACACATTCCTTCAAGCTGGTCACACTTCGACGGACTCTTGACAAGCTCTAGGTACTTTACGCAGGGAAGGGAACAAAAATAATCGGCCCAGCAAAAGATTGTATTGGTTATAATCTTTGCTGTTCTTACAAAGATGAACTTTTTTGGTACTTTGTGAAATTTTTTTTTTGAAGCGTCAAACTTGAGAGATGCAGAACGTAACTTTGTACGTTTTTATTTTTTACCTGTAACCCTGCAGATTGTGTCCACAACACATTTCAAATTTGTATTTAAATGTATAATAAATAGTATTTTCCCCAGCAGCTCAATGTTGCAATGGTTTGTTGCCTTTTTTACAGGATGTTGCATTGAATGTCATCTTGATTTTACTACTTCAATATCTGAAACATGGAAGTTTCAGTTACTAAAGAAAATATTTGGTGTCTGAAATAGACAATGCAAATATCTCAATTAGAGAGTATTTTGAGGTGTAAATTCACTTTTCCCCACCTGTATGCAGCAATTTGCAGAATAATCTTCTCCAATACCACAGAGCATTTAAAAAAAAAAAAACAAACCAAACAAAAAAAAAACAAACCAAAAAGCAAAACCCCAAAGCACATGTTTCAGTAGCAGAGCTAAATTAATAAGGTTAACAATTTTAAAAAGCATGTAAGTTCCTGTGATAGAAATAGCCAAAACAAGCAACCTCTTGCAATAATGTAAATCGTGAAAAATAAACATTGTAGTTAAACTCTAGTTTAAATTTAATTGCAGATAATTACAAAAATTAAGAGTCACAGTCAAAATATTTTATGTCAAACGAAGTATTATAGAATAGATTATTTGTCAGTTATGAGTATAGTTGTCTATACTTAAATTTGTTGATATTTCAATGTATACAAGATTGTATTTTGTGCCATCCTGCTGCTGTGACAAATTTGAGGTTGTATTTGCAGAGCAATGCTTAGGGCTTTATCTGTTTCTGGTACCGATACCCGGGTTGCTAAAACCACTTGTATTAAAAAGCCCAAAATGGTTCTGTATCTAGTGCTGATACCACAGCTCAGTTTAGAGGAACAAATGGAATTGGGTTGTATATAGTGGCTACTTGTTACCTAAATCAGACTTGTCACAGTTGAATGTCTTAGTGAAGTGGGTCTGTGTGAATCCAGGTACAGGTCTAACATTCTCACTACTCAAACATTGTGTTAAATAATTTATGTGTGTTTAATTATTGCTTGCCAGGTTTACAGCACCCTCTGCTCATCGCTTTGATAGTCTGAACTAATCTTGGATGCATTGTATGAACTTCTGCAGTGGGACAGTTGCTCAGGTTTGGATTCTATTTTTGCTTCTTGTGAGCAGTTGCCATTTAAGAATTCTTAAGCAACATTTTGATAAGTGCATGACTCAGTTTTGATTGCTGTTCTCTTTTATTGTCTTCAAGAGAGGTAGCTCTTGCAGCTACCCTGTGGATAGGCGCTCAAAAAAAGGGAATTTTTAGGCATTATCAAAGAAAAGAATTTAAATATGTGTGAAATATTTAAATTTTAAGCTATTGGACAAGGTATTTAAGTATCACAGACAACTCACTGCTTTGTAATAGCAAAAAAAAAACTGTCTCTGGGTTCTTACTTGGTGTAGGGAAGTTTGTCTTGGTGGCAAAAATACTTTTTGGGCCTAGAAGTCAAAACAAGTGACTTGATCCTATTCCCTTCCAGATGCTGCGAGTCCATCTATTTGGATTTAGTGATGGCTTGAAGGAAAACTGAGTTGCAGACAAGTCAGTTGTAAGGGCACATGCGAAAAGAAGCAAACATCCCGCTCATCTCTCAGCTGAATTCATAGATTTTACACAACGAGCAGCAATAAACTCACTGAGGTTCCTTCATGCATAGTTTGTCACCCCAAACACAGGTATTTTTAGATTAATCAGGAATATATACTATGGTGCCTTTTTTTTAATAGTAAAAAAATACATCTACTAATGGAAGTAATTTAAACCTACCTTGTGTTTTCTTTAAAATTATAGATTTCGAAAAATATAATCCATATACAGCAGGGAAACGTGTCCAAATAGTTCACAGATCATTTCTTGTTATTTGAACAAAGTATGATAGTGATTTAGGATAAGATCAGTTATCTTTTAGAACCTGTTTGCCCTTTGCTTTTAAACTTCATGCCTTTTGCACAGGTTTGGAATTGAAATCTGGTTAGTCTTTCTTGAAAACCAATCTTAAAAATGCCTTTAAAATTAATTCTATATGTCATACTTGTGTATAGCTTGATAGCTAGCCTTAAATTTTGATGAGATGAAAAAAACCTCCTTGCTAAGTACCTAATAAATTTTTAATATCCTTGGTACATATAGGGGGTTTTAATGTAAAAATTTTTCTTAAATCACTGTGCTAATAAACAGTCTTCCTTCACTTCCAGCTACGTACGTAGCTGCATTCGCTTCTAACCAAACAAGTGCTTTTGCTCAGGTGATGACAAATTCTGCCATTCTTCTCAAATATAGTCCTGACAAATACTGAAGAACACGCTCATCTTCACGAGAAACACAGGAGAATCTTAAAGAATGTATGTATCTAAAAGTTGGAAGGCAGGTTATTAGACTGTGAAAAAGTGGAGTTATTAAATACAGTATCTTATACGGAAATTGGAAACAGAAAATGTTCAGGCTTTTTCATATATTCTTTCCTAATAGAGTAAAGCGAGCTCCTTTTCAGAGTTGTAATTAAACTTGGTATGAAAAGCCACCTAAATCACTGCAATGGAAAAAAAAAATCGTGCACAAACCTCATTTTTGGCAGTTTGTGGAGCAATGAGAAAGTAGCTACAATCACTAATCAGATATAGAAAGGGGAGTAGATAATACAAACTGAGGTGAGAACAGCCTTTTTGGAGATAACTTTTATTTCTACCAAAAAAAAACAACCCAGGTAGAGACTGGAAAGAGCAGGTGGTGCTGGTCGTCACGGTGACAATGGAACAGATGGGGACAATGTCTCTAGCAAGAGAGATACTTTATGTGGTGTGTAAGAGACGTGCCAGGGGCACATCCAGGGGAGCAGAAAGGCATCATGTAGGTGTGCCATTCACTGTAATGTCCTGGAATATGTCAGGAAACGTGTCTTTCGTAACCAAAAAGGTAAATTTTCAAAAGGAACTTTTTAATTGTTTCAATGACCATCTGCATTCAAAATTCACACACACAGTCATTGCCTGAATATAAGATTCAGACATGATGGTGCAAGTGTTTTCACTGAACAAGGAGCTCCCTATATTACTTTTTGCTCATAGGTAATGTTTTACCAGAACAGCTTACATGTTACTTATTTTAGATTTCTGTATGTTAAGAAGTACTTCAGGTGGTTGGGAGGAAGAAACAATTACTTTTCATTAAGTTCTTCTGTTTTTATGTTATCCCATTCTGACCAGTTCTGTGTTGACACTGGTGCTGGCTGAAGCTGTTGGGCTCGTATGTTGTATTGCTGCTTTTCCACATCCACGAGCAGACTGATGGGTCGGTTTTGTTCAGTGGTTTTTCGCTGGGTTTTGTGGGTCACAGTTTCTAGATCTTAGAGATTCATAGCATAGAGAAATACTGTTGTCCTTACAGTTTGAGATTAACATAAAACGTGAAGAAAACTTCTAATTTAAACAAACACCCTGTGGCTTTTTAATCCCCGGCTTTCAAAAATGGTGGACCTGTTGTGTTGTGGGAGTTTAGGTTTTAGTTCAAATTAGGTTTATATCATAGAATCACAGCATGGTTTGGGTTGGAAGGGACCTTAAAGATCCTTGAGTTCCAACCCCCCTGCCCTGGGCAGGGACACCTCCCACCAGACCAGGTTGCTCCAAGCCCCATCCAGCCTGGCCTTGAACCCCTCCAGGGATGGGGCAGCCACAGCTTCTCTGGGCAACCTGGGCCAGGCTCTCACCACCCTCACAGCAAAGAATTTCTTCCTAATATCTGATCTAAATCTCCCCTCTTTTAGTTTAAAACTGTTACCCTTTGACCTATCACTCTGCTCCCTGATAAAGAGATCCTTCCATATACCTAACAACCAAAAAGAATCAAATCCCAAAATATACAACTTGAGTCTACAAATGAAGCTCTTTGCTGAGCGCCGAATTTTCTCTGAAGTCAGCATTTGCTCTATGATTTTGCCTCTTACTCTTCGAGCTGCTCTGCAGTGAAATAAATGAGGCAAGACTTAAGATATTCTCAAAATACTTTTGGTTTTTTTTTTTCCTGAAGCTGTGTACTGTAATGAGCTAAACCCTCAAAAGCCCACCCCATGTCCCCTGCACTCCATTCCCCCAGGAACATTGGCTTCTTCTACGGGAACCTTTTTATTTTTTTTTAAGTTTTATTCAACATTATTGAAATTAAAGCAGAGACGATGCATTTCTGGAAGGCCACAGGACTTCCGTGAGACAGTAACTGTTTACTGTGTAAAGAAAATGGGCCCTGTGGTGGCACAACATCATTATTAATCCGGATCAGAAATCTGAAAGATTGCCCGGAGGTGTTTCTAAGAGCTGCTGTGTTGTTCCTGTGAACTTCCTTAGGGTTTCTGCTTTTCACTAAGTATCACCTTAGTCTTGTCTTCTCAAGAGAATACTAAATCATCACTCTTAATGCACAGGGGAATGCTTAAGAAACTAAAAAGCCCAACCCTTTTATTTCTGAAAGCATGTGAGGGATTCTAAATTTATGCTTACTTCCCAATGTGGCTTTAAAAAGGCTGTTTAATATAGCTTTATTTTAAAAAGAACTTAAGGAAATAGTTTTTTTTTCTTTTCAAACTATGCCTGCTGAAAAGATCCAGGTGACTGTTAGGGGTGTATTTTTACATGAAGGCAAGTTTTTCAATGATGGGACAGGTGTCCATCATTGGCTAATAGCAAATTAATGCCCGCAGGTCGTCCCTCGAGCTCTGCTGTTCCCATTGCCTGTTCCGTATGGAGGAAATCAAAGCTGGGGTGTTGTCGGGCACGGGTTTTCAGGGGGAGCTGCCCGTGCCCCGTGATAATGAGGCCAAATCTCGGTGAATTGATGCTCTCTCACCAGCCATGATCAAATCCAGCCTCGGCAGTCAGAGCTACCTGCAAACTGTAAGTTATCCCTCACCTAAAAGGCCATACTGTCTAAAAATTCAGCAGAAAGAACCCAACCTGCCCCACTGACCGCACCCCCCCACATAACAGTTGCAGGGAACAAACCTGTTTTCACTCTGGAAAAGCCATCCCAGGGCGAGCCCTTGCTGTAGCACATCACCTGGCAGCCCTCAGCCCACAGGGGAATTAA